TGTTGGTTATTCGCTAATTATTAAATCATTCTTGTGCAGTTTGTATTTTTCAATTCCCGCTATTAATTAATCGGTCTAGACCGATCTGAACCGGTCTAAGATTAGGAACTGAAAAACCTTCAGTTCTAGTCCAAAGACCGGTTCAGACCAGTCTTTTTTGGAACCGATCCAACCCTACTATGATCTTTGATAGTATCACAAGAAAGATCTGAATTTGAAAGTTAAAATCAAGATTGGAAAACTGAATGATAACAAAATTCTTTAGTAGAGGGATTTACCAATCTGATCACTAATTTAGGAAGTTAAAAATTTGTAAAGCATTACAGAGTATATTAACTCTGGCCAACCAGTGTGAAAAACCAGTAGTGAGACTCTATCTACCAAGGCTAGAGATTATAGAAGTCAGATAATTAATAGAAAAATACTGGGCATTTTCAAAGGACCAGCCTACCGAATTGGAGAAAAAAAACATGTATTAAGAAATTATGTACCAAAATAAGATGAGAGCACCAGTATCTAAAGCCAAGCCAAGATTGAATCTTCTGGGTCATTGGTTAGAAGTAAGAGATGGACTAATAAAGAAATAACAAAAAAATAAAAAGTTCAAATGTGGGTATTAAGATTAAAAGTAAATCTTATAAGGGCAAAAGCAGTTAAATAGAAATAATTTTAACTGCAAGTGGGAGCCTTGGCAACTATATAAAACCAGGCTGGCTCAAATAGGATAGGGTAGGCTTTGGTAGGTTTACCACAAAAATAGCTATATATCTGCTTAACAGAGGAATACAAGCCAGTAATAGTTAGTGTAAACCCAGAATAAGTCTTAAAAATTCTAAGGCTAAATTGTACAATCTAGTAGAACAAGCCAGATAGTAGTTTCCGGATTAGTATGATATACTTAAAAATAATTAAAATCAGAAGGTTTAATTGGATAACTCCCTAGTTAGATTATAGATATGATATCTAGTATAGAACCTGTTGGCAGACTACTTAAATAGATACTCAAAAGGTATATATGTAGCTAGTTGTATCTTTATTGTAACTATAATAGCAAATGATTACTAATAAAGAATCTTCAGGCCAAAAAGATTACCTTAATACCAAAAAAAAAAATTCTTAAAATAGTAGATATAGATATTATTTTGAATTTTGGTTCAAATTAAGCTTAATTTGGGCTAAAATTCAAAATAATACTTATGCCCATTATTTTGAAAATTTATAGTATAAAGTTGCTAAGAAAAAAAACAACAATAAGAACCTCAATTAAATAAATTATTGTTATTAAATAAGCATTTACTATAGCAATAACTAACTATATTTAAAAATATAAAACATATCTAATTTTGAAGCCTATTTGTCGAATTGATTAACTATGTATAATAATAAATACTAAGATTTATTTTATACTGTTGAATTTTAAGTATTGCTATTGTTAAAAACTTTTAATATGATTTATCAACTAAGTTAAAATATCTATTATAATAATCTTTATTGTAGATTTCTAGTAATATACTTGAAACCATTAAAATATTGATATTAATTCTTCTTAAGAAGTAATCTCTCAATAGTATTATTCAATTCAAATAATAATGATAAACTATTAATATGTTTTTTTACAATTTCATTATATAACTCAATCCTTTGTATATATATTTCTTATTTTTATACTTATTTAAAAAATGCTTTTTAAGATTTTTTTGAATATCTGATATATATTTAAATATATACATGCTGATATTACTAAAAAAAAATTTTGAAATAATTTACAGTATATATTCACTTTTACCTAGTAACATGACTTTTTGGTTATAAGTCATATTTGTCATATTAAATGCTAATAAAAATTTTTTTACTATAATTCTTACTATATTAACCCTCATTATGTCCAAATGACCTATGACTGGTTATAAAGGTCATATGAGTGCCGCCAAGGGAAAACCCACAATCGGGCTTTCAATGTTCAGTTTGTTTTCTGTATGCCAATTTTATTTTGACAAAATATAATTTAAAGCCCGATGATAGATTTTCCCTAGACAGCACACAGAAAACTGAATATTGAAAGCCCGATTGTGGGTTTTCCCTTGGCGGCACTCATATAGGTCGTTGTAGGTCGTCGGCCAATACTGCTTTTACCAGATATACGTTCTTATTCAAAGTTAATACAGTAATACTGTATAATTTCGTCACTGCAAGAAAAATTAAATAAAATTGAACTTGCAATTTGTTCTAATCCTCATTCCAATTAAGATATGTTCTTGCAATTTATTTATTTATTTTGCGGTGAAAAATTTTTTATGAAACAGTTTTTAAGTACATAAGATAAAAATCATTATCATAAAGTATTTACTTATTTTCAGTGAAAAATAAACCCTTTTTTTTTCTACCAAAAATTTACAGCTTATTTCTAAATAGTAAGCATTAGGTATTACAAATAAAAAGATTAATGAGATTATTCTTTTTATTGGAATGTTGGAAAAATCTAAAAGTCCAGTGTGAGCTTCAGATTTCTGCCAATAGCACTGTCTTACGGTTTATGTTTTATAGCGTTAATTGAAACCTTAATGCGAGCTAAAAAAAATAGTACCCACTCCTCATTGACCTAAATCCATTATTTGAGTATATACCATATTTCTAGTTATTTGATATTATACCAGAAAGTATGACTCAATATATGTACAAAAAAAAAAAAAAAAAACTTTTTGTAGTGATCAAAAGCTTATGCGTGAATTATTATAAAAAATCTCTTAAAAAGGACCAAGCCAAACCCAGCTTTAATCAATTTTTCATTATTGTCCAGGATCACTAGATTTTGATCTCGTCCTTGGTGTACGAGGATTTGTAGTTGTTTTCTTTGTCCTAGCCTTGGCTGGTGCTTTTGATATTGTTTTAGTCGTACGTTTTTTCTTCGTGCCACCAACAGAACTCGTTGGTGTAGTGACACCGCTACCTTCTGTTTCTGCCATAGGCGGTTCTCCTTCATGCCATAAATCTTCAAGGGTCCTGGATGAAATAACTGAAGAACTAGAACCAGAGTTTGAATCTTTCTTTCGACGTTTTCCACCATTTCCTTTTTTCTTAGCGTCATCATCTTCGACCTTGCGCTTTGACTGTTGATCACGAAGTTTAGCTTCAAGCTCATCATCTTCAAGAAGTAACGATACAATCTCTCGAGGTTTGAAGTCGACTTGCTTGAATTCACCGCCGGATATGACAACTTTTTGAATCTAAATTAAAATAAATAAATACATTCACATATATATCATAAAACACTTGATTATTTAATCTTACTTCATCTTTTTGCTTCGCGCGCTGAAGGATCCTTTCTTCAATGGTACCTTTGGTTATCAGTCTGTATACAGTAACTTGTTTAGTTTGACCCAATCTATGTGCACGATCCATAGCCTAAAGTGAAAATAAACTGATTATTAAATGAATTTTTAGCAAAGATGACAGAAAATTATTTCATCTATACCTGTTGATCGACTGTGGGATTCCAATCACTGTCATAAAAGATAACAGTATCTGCTGCTGTCAGATTAATACCTATATGCATTAATGGATAATATTGTGATTGCCTTTATCGGAGCACTAACATTAAAATTCTTAATAAAGTAGACTCTTACCTAAACCACCAGCACGAGTACTCAACAGGAAAACGAATATTTCGGATCTATAAGTATTCATCGTAAGTAATCTTTCACATAACACAATACATTCATAATAAATATTCAACCAATTATAATGTAAGTACCTCGTTTGCCAGTCTTCAACCATATCGCGACGATCAGCTATTTTTGACGAACCATCGAGTCTTAAATACTTATATTGCCTGTACGCAAGATATTCTTCCATCAGGTCGATCATACGTGTCATTTGGAAATAAATTAAAACCCGATGACCACCAGCTTTAAGTTCTTTGAGTAATTCATCAAGTTTTGTCAATTTTCCAGAATCCAAAACAAGTTTTTTAAGAGCTATAATGAAGATCAGTTAAGATTAAACATTATATGGTATTTAAAAATTTTTTATTTATTTATCCAATCAAAACATACGTGGCACTCGCATATATGAGAATCCATTATCTTTCCGGTATGTCTGACCTATTACGCCCTCGCCCTCAGATTGAATTAAGAATTGACCGACAATGCTAGAATTCCGCTCGTTCTGAGGCATTAATTCTTTTATTCCTGAGAGGGCGGATCTTATAAATGGATTAAACATAAGTTGTTCTTGATCATTATAAAACCCTTTATCTATACATATAGGCTGAATTGGAGGAGAAATTGCCTAAAGGTTTAAACCGATGAAATTAATTAGATTAGAAATAGCAAATAGGAATATATGACTTAGAGTTATAAAAAAAAAAAAAAAAAAAAAAAACCTTTGGCATATAACATAGGTCCAATACAACCAATTCATGTCGAGTAGTATTTTCAAAAAATGCTTGTTAAATCACTTAGGACCGATGATTCTTCAATATTCATCGGTGCAAGCTTAAATGCTGTTTCAGCAATCAAAAAACGAGCATACGTATTGATTGGAACATTTGAATAGCTAAAAATAAAATTAGAATGTTACCTTATCTAATTATTTGTATTTAATCAATAAAGTCAGAACATACCTTTCGCCATCTTGTGTAATAAAAAAT